TTTTTGATTCTCTACAACTTTTCCATTGTCACCAAAATGGGTTTCTTTTGAAAAAAGTGCTCAAATTGTCACATATGACAATAGCCCGCAGTTTTCAATTCACCAACCCAATAGATAAAGCTGAATATTAAAATTATGTCATTATCAACAAGCGACAGAATAATTTATACCCATTTGAAGACAAAAAAACTTTATACACAAAAACAAGAAAACAAAGTAATGAATGGCAAGCGAATTTTGTCGGGTTGTGCAAATGCGACTAGAAATGACAAGAGTTCAGAAAAGGAACATAAAGTTGTAAACAAACCAAAAAAACTGACAAAACATCACAAATCCAATTACAAATCCATTTCTCCCACAAAACTACTTGACTAAATGAGCGCTTTTTGGCAAAAAACGATCTCAAAATTGAGAGAACTTTTTGGGTCTAACCTTTTTGTTGGAAATGCCACGGATTTCTCAAATTCTCTCATCTCTCGGGGATATTTTCTGAGCCGACTTTTGTGATAAATGCAAAAAGAAAGGAAAACTCGCAAATAGGTACATTTCAAAGGATTTAGCATTAAAAAAGAGAAAAGCTGAAAAATTAAATGAAAAAAAGAGAAATGAAAGTGATATGGGGAAATAATTTGAGTGAAAATCGGGAGAAATGATTGCAAAAAAAGATGAGGCATTTCAAATGTATACAAATTGAAAGTGGGCTTTGAATCGATAACAGTTAGGTGTTATAGAATGATATGGAGAAGCTTAATAATATGGAGAAGCTTAAAGTTGATCGAAACCCCATTGATTGTTAGCTTTGTTTTCTTTCACGAATGATCCAAACCCTTGTTGTAAGCTTTAAACCAATCATCGAAGCATTATAAACAAAATGTGTTAGGCAAATTGAAAGTAAGCATTTTGCATGTTATACAGTCGAGCAATTGGATTCGGATTTTGGGCTTCGGGTCGAAGAATTGGAGTATTTGTTGGAGGAAGACCGATTTGAGTGGGATCACCACATCCACTCGTTGTTCCCGATCCACATGTCTCTGCCTCGGAATCGTTTTCTAAAACAACTTCTAATAGTGAAAGTTGTCCTATTTGTATAGGCAGGATTTCGGTGTTTTTGGGTGAATCACTAGAGCTTCATCTAGAACATCTAGCTTCATCCAGGCTTTAGAACCTTAGCCGTTATCCAGGAAACTTCTAACTATTGCCAATCAATTTTCCGTGCCGATTTATATGGGACACGTGAGCTAATAGTTTGATTTAAAGCTTGTGGAGGGAGCTAGAGGAGCTCAAAGTTGGGCACAGGCAAAAAAAAAGTGGTGGCAACCCAACTTTGAGCTCTTCTAGCTCGGTCCAAAAGCTTTAAATCGGTTTTTTAGCTTAGTTGTCTTATGTAAATGGACACGGAGAATCGTAGGCAATAGTTAGAAGTTTCCTGGATAACGGCTAAGGTTCTAAAACCTGGATGAAGCTGGATAACGGGTAGCCTGAAGATTTTGCTAAAATGTCTTTTTAGGTGTAAATTAATTGGACGCTTCGAAGCTCTAACGATTCTCCGAAAAACACCGAAATCCTGGCTACGGATTGTATAGTATTCTGGTTCATTGATTTCATTGATTCTCGTTGATTACTCTCTCCAACCTTCATCACTTTCACTCTTTGCATCTTCAATCGATTTTCCTTCAGAATCAGCCGATTGTCCCACTTTATCGCCCTCTTTCCGGGAAAGTTTTTTGATCTAAATGGTAAGGATTTAAATGGGAACAAAAACAATACTAAACTAGAAGACTTGTAGCTTTTCAGATTTCAAACGCACCTTTGCTCGTTGATTTTGAAACCACACTTGAACGACTCGGACACTCAACCCAGTTTCTTTGGCCAATTGTTCTCGAACCTAAACATGTTGATTATTGCCTGCTCAGTTACAAATAGAATCTAAAAGCTCTCAATTTTTACCTTTCGACAAGGTTTCGAGCTTTTCTCAAAGGCGGCTTTGAATTGTTTCCTTTGTTGTGCATTCAGTATCGTTCTCGGTCGTTTCGGTGTTTTTCTGCTCGAATCATTGTGATCGAAGAAATCCATTGAAATTCCTACAATCATTTATATAGATATTTGTGAATGTTTTAATAGTTGAGGCTTTACTCACCTGGTGGTAATTGAGTGTGATAGAGAAATGTCTGATAATCGTTAAGACAGACAACCTCAGTATCCAGAATGGAATACTCGTCTCCCTAAACAATTTCTTTGGCTAGGAAATAGGAATTCTAGAGTGCTTAACTTTGAATATGTACTACTTATGTTTACAACACAAGCTGATTTCTGCTTAGAAAAATTTGCCAACACAAAAAAGGCTTGTATTTTGGTGTACACTACTGGACAATGAAATATCATATTTGAAAAAAGATCGTCACTTTTGCGCGTCTGTAACTCCCTTGTCTTTACCGTATTTCTAAATATTAATATTACCATTGTGTAGCCCTTGAAAAGAGCTTTCAGAAAATGTATAACACTAATAGTTTAAACTCAAAGACAAGGGGGTTACAGACGCGCGAAACTGACGATTGTTTTTTTCAAATATCATATTTCATTGTCCAGTACTGTGTGCGAGCAAAGGTCTGTTTTCGACGATTTCAACAAAGGCGTACGGACGAACGGACGAACGACGGTTAGAGATGCTATTTTTTATCTATAATGATTATTTTTACCTTTTGCAATGGTTTCCCACATTGAAAACAACTAAAGCATTGAGCATGATAGGTTGCGTGAACACATCGAAACACCATATCACTTGGGTGCAATGAAAGGGAACATCGACGGCATTTTCGACCAAACAATCTGAAACAAGCTTTTAAGCTTTCAAATTTTAGTCATTTCTTTTATTTATCCCTTTCACATAAAATCCCGTTCAATTTACAGCAATCACTTGACAGAAAAAAAGCTATGTTCGGTGATGGAAATGTTATTTGCTAAGTGTATCCGATTGACAGTATCCATTCCAATCCCCATCCGATATGTCCTTGTAAATGACACCTGCTCTTTCTCTCTTTCTTTTCCCTTCTTTTTCAGCAAAGATCCCCCATGACCGCTCTGTGATCAAGGATGGATTATTGCACCTCGAGCACTTTTCAGGCCAAGAGCTCATCTAAATCCCGCTCATAGGTGGGCTCTTCTCCCGCATTATGTAAGCTTGATCATTAGATTATTGAGAGCCTTGTCTTTCAAGAGCTCCTAGCTACCACTAATCAAAGGTGAAGTGGACAAATCTTGACAATTGTGGCTAAAGGTTTTAGACCCTTAGCCGTTATCGAGGAAAGTTCTAAACATTGCCAATCGATTCTCCGTGTCGTTTCACATAGGACGCGTGGGTTAAAAATCTGATTTAAAGCTTGTTGAGTGAGCTAGAGGAGCTCAAAATTGGGCAAAAAGTCGACCATCAACTTTCAAAAGTTTGAGTGGGTGATAGACTAGCCGAAAAACGCGGGGAGCTGCTAGCTGTCACGCTAGCATCTACACGTCTAGGTGCAGTCGGGAGCGCGCTTCTCTAGGGCCCGCGTGATCCGGGTTCGACCCCCGTAGTGCCATTTGACACTACGCTTATTATTTACATAGAATAGATAAACTAGTTACAGTATTTCTTCAACAAAGTGCCTGCCAAAATATTTCTCTGGATTTGTTAGTGCTGTGTTTCTTTTTATATATTGACAATGAGAATTTGGCTAGATACGGTACATTCACCCCGTCCTCAATATAGCGAATTCTATCAAATCAAAAAAGATTTGTATCCCCGGAGGCAGGTGTTAAAGAGATGCTAGTGATGGTGTCTCTTCTTTTCCCCTCACATCCTCCTCAATCGGTCGTCCATCCGGTTCTCCTCTTTTCTCTTTTCTCGTTTCTTTTCCCGACTTGATATCCCCATGACAAGAGGGTTCAATATCTGTGCCTTCTCGGATGCCATGGAGGGGCTCCAATGGGATCTCTGATGGCCTTCTTTTTCCTTTTCTTTCTTTTCCATTCCCTCATTCAATGTCCTTATTGGCGGCAGCCAGCTGAGGGCTCGAGAAGTCCCCTTCAGTCAGTCTAGGGTGGATTTCATCGGCAATATTGCTAGGTGTTACTGTATTTTACAACTCTGATGCAAGTGAATGAAAATTATAGAAAAACTCAATATTCTCTATACTGGCTAAAAATTTTGCTCACTATTTACTCAGAGAGAGAATGATGGGAATGAGAAAAAGCAATTTTAGGGTTCATGAGGGTTTTCCTTTTCTGGGGGAGAGCAAATACCCACCACATTTAGGACCCAATCCATCGTCTCTGATTGAGGAAATCCCCGGGTATACGGTAGGTTGAAAGAAAAGGTCGATCAGTTGATACTTAAAACAGTTCTCTACTGCAATACTATCGAAATTGTTACTTGTTAATAGACTTGGCTATCGATATTATCGATATTTTTGGAGTAGCAAAAATCTTATAACTTTACACAAAACTATTCAAATGCTCTGAAGCTTTTGGAAAGCCAAAAGTTCCAGCTTCATTTTGGTAGCTAATAAGCTAATGGTAAGTTAACTTAGAAGTGCACGCAAAACGTAGCTCTAAAAACCTATAGATATGATCAAGTCTCTATCGATAATCCCTATCAAGTCCTTATCAAGTCCCTATCGATAATCGTATCGTATCGATAAGGTTTTTTTGAGATGCGTTGTTCTTCTAACAGTACGTATTATGTACCAAAATGAAGCTTGAACCTCTGGCTTTCCATTGGTAAAAGTTTCAGAGCTACAATCACAAAGGTATGTCCGTTTTAATGCGAGCCAAGTCGATAGCCAAGTCTATATATCGATAGCCAAGTCTATCTATCGATAGCCAAGTCTATATATCGATAGCCAAGTCCATATATCGATAGCCAAGTCTATCTATCGATAGCCAAGTCTATCTATCGATAGCCAAGTCTATCTATCGATAGCCAAGTCTATCTATCGATAGCCAAGTCTACTTGTTACATAAACTCAATCACCCAAACAACCATCGCTGTGAATTACTTTGAAAATAGGTTAATCAAAAATAGGTTATTTGTCGAGGCGATGATTTGAGTTCCCATAAAAATGAAATAGAAAAAGGGTTATGGTAACTGTTTTTTGAGATTTGATGACAAACAAGACTCTTTCCCTTGACAAACAAGGCTCTTTCCCTCATTCAAAGATACGGGTAAACGCTATCAAATCTTCTTGTCTGATCTCTTCACTTCATAGAAGTAAATTGGCTAATTTTGTTTTCCTCGAGTAATTTGTGATGCCTCTAGAGTAGAAAAATAAACAAGCAAAGAAATTAGCTTACTATTGGTTGATTTTTGAAACTCGAGGTAAGGTTTTGAGGGAAATGTTTGATGACCAAGAGAAGGTAGAAGAGATAAAGAGATTGAAGGTAGAAGTTGCCCCTTGGTAGAAGAGATCAAGGGGTATCTCTGGTAGAAGAGATCAAGAGGTATCTCTGGTAGAAGAGATCAAGGGGCAAGGAAAAGTTTCTGAAAACTTCTTTGATTCATGTTGTTGATGAATCTTGTTCAACTTCGCTGAAAATCCCCAATGTTTTCCAAGAGATTTCATTGGAGTTATCTGGGAAGAAACCCTTGAATGTCGGTGAATTTTCTTCTTTTCTCAACCCACAATTATTGCATTTGATATGGCCAACTGAAAGCCCCCAGAAGAAACCCCAACAAAAATAATAGATTCCCGAAAACTCTGTAAGAGAATCGTACTAATATTCAATTGTTAGTTGAAATATTTTGATTGAAAAGAGAAGCATTTGATTGAGAAGCCTTTTCCGATATTGATTTTGATTTTTCCTATGATAAGATGTTTTTTGATTAACTTTGAGATGTTTACTTATTCAATCTTTGTCCAGTTAGATGACTTTAAATAAAGAGATGAGAAATTGATAAGTAAAAGGATGAAAATGAATAAAAATTCTAATTGAAAGCTTTTTATGAAGGAGAAGAAGATGATAAGAATCGGATTGATGTCTAAGGGATCAAAGTGACACTAGAAAATGACAAACGTTGGATAGCACGTGATTTCAATCTTTTCAGCTCTTATTACACAAACAATAAAAGTCTTTTTAGGTTCTGGATCCTCAAAAAAACCTAAGTGACACTAGAAAATGACAAACGATTTGTTTACGGACAACTGTAATCCAATGATGAGCTTTGGAGAAAGGGGAAAGACTATGAAGAAAGAGAGGTTGATTGGGGTGAAATGGTTACACAATTCTGTCACACCCTTCCCGCATAAATAGAAAACAGATTTGACAGAACTAATTGCCTAGTTCTTCTTGTTTTAATTTCAGCTCTATACTCTCCAAAGATGCAACTGTTCGACGTCTTCAAAACACGATTTCAAACAAAGTTTGGAAGTTGATAGACATAATATTTCCCCCCAGAGTAAACATTCTCTAGTTTCCTCAGAAAAAAATGGAATTGTTTAAGAGAATTTGCGGTAAGAACTTTCGAGGATACTTAAAGTCTTTAGAAGATATTTGGAGAAGAATTTGGGAAAGAAATGGATTGAAGAGGAGGACAAGTCACGCAATCACTCTACATACCTCTTAAGAATTAGAAAAGCGATGGCTGCGATTGGATTGATCAAGTTAAAGAGTTTTTAGATAGATTAGATAAATAAAATCTTGCCTATTATAAGCGGCAAAGTTAAGCCTGTCTGTCCGTTCACTTCATAACCCGAGTTCCAGTGGGAATTTCGGTTTGATCTTTTGGGACAATATGTAATCGACCACGACGATTTGGCCTGTCAAATCAGAATTGAAAAGTCGTTGAAAGTAACGTTGAAAAGCCGAATTTGGCGGTGAGATCTTTTAAAAATGAATTTTGGGTGCATTTTCTCAGGAGATGTTGGCGGAAATCCACTTATTGGATTTTGAACGGGTCGTCACCCTTTGAAGGCCCAGAACTTTGTCCAGAGATAATAGTTTGGCTAATTTTTTATATTATTGTACAGAGGACGTTTCAGACTTCCAAAATGATGCCAAATAGAGCTTGACTGAATTTTTCATTTCCATGCAAACTAGGCGACATGATACCCGAGTCGGATAGGCTCAGAGTTGACTCTGATTTTGCTCAAAGTTGGCTCTGATTTTCTTGGCTAATGATAATCACAAGAACCCACTCAGAATGATCTTCTCTGCAGTACAATCGGCCATCTTTTGCAAAGCACGATCCATTGGAAGAAAGCGGCCTTTGACAGGCACAACAACGAAGACAATTCTCATGCCATGGCTCTTCCATTACCTACGATTATTTGTAATCAATCAAAAATATTGTGCTTTGCCTTGTACTTTTTTTGTTACTCACCTTTAACATGTATCTATCTCGAATCTCAAATCCACACCCAACACAAGAAATTTCGTCGTAAGGAGAATTGCAGCCTGTGGTTGATGTAGCGGGAAGATCTAAAGCTTTTAAAATAAGTTTTAACTTTATAGTCGGGGATTAGATAAGTAATCTATAGATCTATAGATAATTCTGATCTATAGATTTATCTATAGATCTCCCTCTCAAATCCTCACCAAAATCAGTACCTCGCTCAATGAGGATTTGAATTGTCATCGACTTTTCGTTATTGTTAGTTCATAATAACTACCGATTGTTGAACTAGAAACAGTTTTCTAGATGGAAGAACTATTTAAGTGGAGTGGAAGCAAAAAAAAAATAAAAAAAATAGAGAAGGGCACGATGATACATCCACCAAAACAAAGACGCTTTCCATCCTCCACCGACCTCCAAAAAGAGAGGAGAAAGGAAATGACAACATTAAGGGAATCGGCGGTAGAGGGGGGAGAGAAGGGAACTGCCCACACTGCTTAAAATATGACATAATAGGAACCATTAACACATTCGCGACGATACGGCCCACCGGTGGGCCGTAGGTTGTCTGGCCGTAGGTCCTATACCCTTCTAGGAATATAGGACAGAACCCAAAATTGGTTTCGCTCTTTTTTTCTTTAATTTGGTTTAATTATCCAGGTTTTAGAGTTTTTTGATGATCATATTGGCTCGAAAATTAAAGTTGCTCAAAAACTAATAGCGGATTCAGATTCTCTATCCCAGAATGCCTTCAGTTACAAATTTTCAGATCTACAGCTAATATAGAGTCGTTCGAAATGGCAGCTAAGCCAAACATAATGTGAATTTGTTAACATACGTTTTCAATTTGTAAGTTCTTCTTCTAAGCCTAAGCCTGAACCTTTCATTAAAGCTAACAGTTGAATTCACTGTCTAATAGTCAGCGGATCATAAAGAGAATCCCTCCCGGATTTGTTCTGCCTTCAGTTTGTTTCTCAATTGTCATACTCCAAGAAATTAGCTTGGATTTTGGATAGCATTGCTTTAAACAATGTCGTGTATCTTGCCCCTTGTTCTCCTCGTCTACCCAACCCGTATCAGATCGATGATACATCGATCCCTTCCCCCCTTCATCGTCCCTTCCTGTCCACTCATCTTTTTCCATTTCCTCCTTCCCATTTCCCGAATCATGCCATTTTCATTCAAGTGACCTTTCAAAATGTGCCCCATCTCGACATATTCATCCCAAATATCCCAACATTTACCCACGTGCTTCGGTAAAATTTGTTGACCTTCAAAGGATCACATTCTTTAGCTATTTATTATCCCTTCCCTAAAAATAGCCATAGAACTTCTCCAGTAATCTCCTTTTTTCCTATTCCTTGTAAGCTGTATTGAATTGATGAAATGACGCTTGAGGGATGCTTACAATTTGAGTTTGTAGGACGGATGGGGATTTCCGTGACGGGGGAAATCATTAAAAATTATTTCATCCACCCCTACTTAAACGGCCAATTTGGGAGGATGATTGTTTTGCATTTGATCTGATGATTTTACAGGCTTTAAAACTCAAGATCAGGTGAGTTTGAAATGGGTCTAGAAGATAAAAAAGTAAAGAAATGGGGAATGGAGATTTGATCCAGAGATTAGTGAAGTGAAGAAAGGGAAACGGATGGATGGAAGGGTAAAAGGGTGAAAGGGAAAACGGAGGTATTGTTCTATTCAGTTAAATCCATTGCTTTTGTCGGGAGATAGGTTTTCTTCTACTTTGTGTCCAAGGCGAATCTTTTGAGAAGAAGAAGACAGACCGGTGTGGTATCTTGCGGTACACAAAAGCGAAGGTAAAGATAAACTGTGATTGGTTCATTCGAAGAGCAATGCAGTAATCAATATTAAAGGATATTAAGCTATTCAGAGATTCTTTTCGTTTCTTTTCCGTTGAATAATAAGAAATTTACGAAGTCTACTCTTTCTTTACCTTCTCCATCTGCATCTTTCTTTACAAATTCTACTTCTACATCTACATATTTCTTTCACAGAATGTAAGCGTTGCGATGATTCAGATTATAGTTCGATCAGCACTTTTGGAAATAAATGAATGGATTTGTAATCGAGAAAAGAAAAATAAGCCTTTCCGGTGGCATTTTGTCTCTTTTCTTTTCAATGGATTGGGATATTTTCTTGACAAAAAAGAAAAAGAACAATTGAGCAGAAGGTAGAAGGATTGAACAGAAATTGAAAAGAAATTGAACAGAAATCAGAATGGATCAAGTCATCAACGTTGTTAAATCATTGTAGAATTGTGAATTGTATCTGACGAGTAAAAAAGGAAACCGATTACCTAGTTCTGAAACTTGAGCCTATAAAACTTGTAACCTTAGTTTTTTTGAATGATCGCCCTAAATAGCGTTTGAATAGCGCCCTAAAAAATCATTTGGATAGCTGCAAAAACTTGCCCGTGACAGCAACAGGAAATTGCATGAAGATTGGCTTCTCGTCAATGCTTGAAGAACAATCGAATGGTTTTGGTTCACCGATTGAAGAAATCTTTGTAGCGGCTGATTCAATTGAAATGAAAGCTGATGATCGATTGGGAGAAGAGAATACAGAATCCAGATCCACCAATTCTCCTCCCACACGACCAACAACTTCGGTCATTTTCACGAAGATCCAACAGGAAATCCCTTTTTTGAGTTGATTTCTGAAAAAAACATTTAATCGTCTACATTTCTCTTTGAAATTCGAAACACTCAAGTCAAGTAAGAGTGAAAAGCGAAGAATGTTTGATAAAAGATCCGCTGTTCTTTAGATTTTTATCTTGATGCTTAAAGTTTCCAGGAATCATCGTCTGGAAAAAAACCTTCAATTTGTTGGACGAAAATGGCGTGTACAATGAACGAAAACGCACGTCCAAATGCACGAAAATGGCGTGTACAATGAAACAAGAGTATGGATCAGCATTAAAATCTCTTTTCACAAAAACAGAGATCAGTGGATAAGTGGCAGAGAATTGTGCACCTGAAAGATTTCAAGGGCTTAGCTCAAGAAGTAAATCGGAAACACAGTTTGTACGGGATCGTTGGAGCTTTTGAGAAAGACTTTGCGAAAAAAACTCAATGATCATTTGAGAAGTCGAATCAGGAAATGATGAGGGGCTGGGTGGGTAAATCGTAAAATTATACAGACAAAAAGTTAGACAAAAACAAACCATTCATTTCATCGCAATAATCTTTGACAGACTTGAGTGCTACTCAAGTACAGTTGGGATTTACCGGGGAATTCAGGAATTCATTATGGGAAGAGCACAGAAAAAGAAGGGAAATTGAGAAAAGAGATTGCAAAAACGTGTCGGGGGATGAGCTGAGGAGGAAAGCTGAAGAATCCCTCGATCATCCCCACACTGACTGATTGAGTATGTGACAAGACACAAAAGAATCTCGGGAAATCAAGGAATTGGAAGACGGGGGAAAAAGGGGCCAACACGAGGATGAAGAAAAAAACGGGGATATGGTTAGTAGTTATTGGAAAAAGAAATCAAAGTTATGAATGTTATAGAGGATTTATCACATGACCAGCTGAAAAACCCCCTTAAAAGCGGGTTTTTCTGGATCGCTTGTCGCCATGGCCCAGTCGAGTGAGCGCTTGTTTATCGCTTGCACAATCCGGGTTCGACTCCCCGTACTGCTACCGAATTTTGAATTCTGAATTTTTGATTTTAAATGACTATATTAGATTAAGGCTTTCTTAAAAATTCTCAGTGTTTTTGGCCTAAAGACGGCTGAGAAAAAGCCCGTACAGACGGACACTGCTCTTTTAGTAAATGTTTTTACATTGATAAAGCGTATTTTTAGTGCAAAGGTAAAAAACCAAAACCCAATCCTTGAATAGATGTTTAAATCTTATTAAACTGAGAATAAATTAGTAAAAAGTCAATCATAATTGTTGTATTCATAATCATAGTCAATCAATTTAATAATTGTTGGAGGTACATCGGTGTGCCAACGAATTTGACCTTCTATTTTCAGAATTTCTCTCAAAGAGATTTACACGTTGAACTACCGATTTTAGACGGATAATTTTTCGGGGAAGAGGTCTGAGGAAAAGATGAGAAATTCAAGAATCCCGTACAAAAGAAATTCAAGCATTTTATTCAGAGATTTGGATTGGATTGGATAGAAAATGATGGCATTGATTGGACAAACAAAAATGGACAAACTTTTTTGAATGATTAGTTCTCAGTTTTGATTGAGTTGCTTAAAATCCGAGAATTCGTAATGTAGAATATTTGAAAAAGACAGTGAATTGAGGTGGTATTTTTCGATTTCGAGAATCCGATATCGGAAATTGTATTCATCGAAACAGCGGGTGATCTCGATATTGGATATTTTTAATGAAATTTTTGGCCAAAAAGGTTTTTGAAGTTGTTGTCAAGTTGTCGTTTCCAGCTTGTTTTATGAAATAAATATCGAAATATTGCAAAGTTTCAAAGGCATCCAAATGCTTGTACGAGAGGTAAATTGAAAAGCAACTGACTTGGCTAATCGCTGAGTTTCGTCTACAAAGAATTGGTGGAAAAGTCTGAGTCCTGTGGCCTCAGTTCTGTGGCAAGTTTCACCAATTTTGGACTTAAACTATAAGCTTTTCATGGAGTTGCATTGAATATAAAATTTCTACAGCTTATTTGATGTTCTAAATCTATTTGATGATCTAAATCTATTCGATGATCTAAATCTTTTTGATGATGAGTTTATTTGATGGAAGTCAGGTGCACAACTCTCACTTCATACATCAATCCATGAAAAGCAAGTGTTGCTTATTTCAAACAAAAACTGAATAACGGTATTGTAGTAGTAGATCTGTGACTGTGATACTTGCTTGCGGAATAACAGTTAGCGTTTATCCAGAATAGTGAAGACGAATAAAAGAATCACAATCGATTCATTTATAAAAATGTAGATCAAATGGGTGGGAGTGAAAATAAAATGAAATGGCACAAACTACGGCATGTTTCTAATGACAATCTAGACAGACAACCCTTTTACAGGTGCACTTTAGAAAACGACAATTTTGTGAGAAGTATAAAAGGCTATCTTCCCAACAAACGGAAAGTACAGACCTAGTTAAATAGGTCTGCAATAAGAATTGTTATGTTCTGAAAGAGGTGATACATTGTGTGGGTCCATCCCATACAAGGACCGATCCAACTGATAGATGAATGGATGAAAAGAACAGAAAAGAGAAAGGACCCGCCCCTTGCTTTCCCTTCCTTTTCCTTTCCCCCATCACACCCATCTTCTCTTTCATTAACCCACCAACCGAGTCCCCCTCTTTCCAATGACTACGGTAAATAGATGGGAAGCCCTAGCCTTCTTTTTTTTGCTTACTATTAGAAAGAAATTTGCAAAGTAGAAAAAAAAATATATGTTTAAGAAGGAGGATATTTCTTCATTTTCATGACTCACTATCAACTAGAGTTCGGCAAACAAAACTAAAACCAAAACAGACCAAAACCAAAACCAAAACCAAAACACCAAAACAAACCAAAACTCAATAAATTAACATGTAAATTTAAAACTGTAAAATGCAAATTTGCCTTTCACTTTTTCTCACTCCCCAAAATCTCGCGGCCGAAAAAAGGACCAAAACACGACCTCGAAATTTCGAAACAAAAAATAGCCTATGGGATAGATTTTTGGACGCTGATTTCAAATCTGCAAACAGATTTTCGCTAGCTCCTCCCAATCGCGAGATATTGGCGAGTTTTGGTCAGTTTTGGTTTTGGTTTTGGTTTTGGTTTTGGTTTTGGTCTGTTTTGGTTTTGGTTTTGGTTTTGGTTTTGGTTTTGGTTTTGGTTTTGGTTTTGGTCTGTTTTGGTTTTGGTGGTTTTGGTTTTGGTTAAGCTTTGCTTTCCGAAGTCTACTATCAACATTGGATTTACAATCGACAAGCGAATCTTACAATCGTGAAAAACAAAACAAGTGCGAATCGACGAACCAGTGCTACAAGGTGATCAAAAAGTTCCCCGCACACTTTACAAAGCTCCATTTTTCAGCTAAAATCCAGATCGAAATTGGACTTACTATTGGGTTGGTGGGTGTGACTTTGCAGGTTTTTTTGAAATGAAACTTTTATTCAGTTGACAACTTCAAATCATACAAGATATTTGCCATTATTTTGTATAATTTGTGCCCATTTTACTGGTAGAAGCCTCTGAAAATCTTCGGGTTTGACACAAAAAAACCAGTCAGTCATTTTTTGACGTCTCCTTCGGAATCAAAGTGTTTGTTCGCCAAGTCATTGCACATCGCCCGGAATAAGTAGTAATCAGAAGGTGCAATATCAGGGCTGTATGCCGGATGGGCCATCACCTCCCATTCAAGTGATTTTAGTGTAGAACGAGTCATCTTCTTCATCATCTAGCATTACCATGGTGAGGAATGATCTTTCCCTTTGAGGTTTTTCTCTGGCAAACTTTGTGGTTTTTTCTCTGGCCGACTTGTCAAGTTGCTCCGAGTATTTGATTAAGTTGAGTGTTGTCTTGCTAGCCAAAAGTTCCCAGTAGATAAGCTCTTCCAAATTCCAGAGTACTGAGAGCACAAACTTCTTCTCATGCACATTTGGCTTGAGCTCGGGTTCGGACTTTCCCCCCTCAGCAACCGATTGGTGCCTTCTCCGAAAGTTGAGAGTTAGTCCATTCTCATTCCCTGTCACAATATAGGGTAAAAAAGATTTCTCATCTCGAGAATGATGAGCGGCACTGATTTCTGATACGTTTCCATTTCTGGATGTCCGTTAAATCATGTGGAATCCAAGTCCTTAATACGGTTTAAACCCAAATGTATGCAATGTTCGAGTATTATTTTATGATCAATTGATAACTCTTCCGCTATTTCGCAAAAAAGAAAGCCTCTCGTTGGTTTGAAAAATTTCGAGGAACTTGGCATTATCCAGATGGACTGCTGGATGACCCCTCACTTTGTCTTCGAAGATTCACCCCCAGAAGAGAATTTAACAAACCAGTTTGCACATGTCCGTAGTGGGGCTGATCCTTCCACATAAATATTCTCAATATTAGTTGAACACTAGAGGCCCTTGTGTTCTTGTAGAAACCCGTACAACATAACGTGTCGCCGGTGGTAAATTTTCAATAGTTGAATAAAGTAAAGTAAAATTCCGAAAGCCAATTATGTTGAAAGTGAAAGCTCATTGTTTTCGCAAGAGTAAATGTTCACTTGCCTATTTTCCACAAACTCATTTCCCTCATGTTTGTTCACATCTCTGGAATTTAATTTGAAAAAACGTGCCAAGTCATACCCACCAACCCAATATATAGTATTTTGAAGCTGAAATTCTGGGAGCATTTCTACACCAAAACCATCTTGATCAGGGCCACCTAGCTCTGCAAAGAAGCATTTTAGTGCGCTGGAGGCAAACTGTCATTGCGCTCACCTATTTGAACTTGTTTTCAATTGAAAAATCCAGCAAAAAGTCTTTTTAAATTGACACTTTTGTTTTAAGTAACAGTTCCATTGCTATTTTAAAAGAATCAAATCTCTCGTCAAAATAAAAACGTAAAATAGTCTTCGAAAACATGCAAAACTGTATTTGTCTGATGGACGATTTGCCTCGAATGGAGTGCAAGGCTTCTTGAAAAGGCT